TCAGCCTGCTTACGGCAATGTTCCTCTAATTTTGTAGAGATCTTCCGCAATCTCTGTGTTATGGGTGCTACTAATGCTTGTCTGCATATTCTCCACCGCCCACCTTGTATGGCATCAGACGTTTTTACAATTGTCCTTCAGCTTGATGTGGACCTTCCCTGGCTAGAGGCAGAGGGTAGTTCTTTTACCAGGGAAGGAGGCTTTACAATTGAGGTCCTACAAGCGGCAATGAGGTCCTACTATTCTTGGCCCAATGAGTGGTTTCATCCTCCATCCCACATGTCAGCCTGCGAGCATTCTTCCCATTTACACATGAGAAATACTTACACACTTGAAAATGCAATCTGACGTATGTGATTGAATCTGCAGCAATCAACCATGGCAGCATAATGATTACGATAATAGCAGCGGTACCTATGTTCACTCTGTGGATTCCATGTCCACCGGACGTGGAGGTGAAAGCAAAACAAAAAAAGAGTGATCACCCCTCTCCATCCCATTCCTCCTCCACTGAGAAAACAACCCTTGGCCTCCCTTCACCCCCTCCATGAGGAACACTCACATGCGTGCAAATGCATTCTAACATACGTGATAGAAGCTGACCAGACAACCATGGCAGGTTAATGATGTATTGATGTCCGCGTCTACCTCCTTCCCCCGAATACAACGTACAGTCATTATAGCCGCATGTGGACTGAAAGATGCCTCAAATACAGCTATAATGACCGTACGTTGTATTCGGGGGAAGAAGGTAGTCCGGGGATTCCGTGTCTGCCAGACATCGAGGTCAAAAGAAAAAAAGAAAAAAAATAAAAAGTTATCCTTCCCTTCTCCTCTCTCAACTTCATCCCTCGTGCTCGGAGAAAATGCCCCTTGGCATCCCCTCAACTCCGCATCCCTCGGGGATGACCCATGCCAACCTCCCTTAACCCCCCATTCCTGGCCATGATCCCTTCCCCTCGGGACCTGAAATGTGCATTCTTGTTGTTCGTACAGATCTGTGGATCTGTGGATCTGGCCAGGCATGTCCGCGTTTGGTGTCCGCCGGTCGTCTGTGGATGGCGCGGACAGTTTGCGTCGCTGCTATGATTTCTAACTGCTCTTATGTAACCATGGTGGAAATGGAGTTTACTGTGGTGGTGGCTTTTACAGTACACCGGGTAGTCATTTAGCTTGTCGTTGAAGCTCCTGTCGAGGCTGTCATTGAAACAGTTTATGTTTGGCTGGTTTGTCTTCGTTGTGCTCCTCTGGTCTTTTTGTCTGTTGCAGCCCTTCCATACATAAAGAATGCGCATTTGGATCCGAGATTCCAGCTGTATTTTACCAAGGAATGGCTGGATACGCTCATCGTCTCTTTTCGAAACTTCCTCTGCCAAGTGTTTGATGGGATCAATATCCTCCCAAGAATTGCTTGGATGCCCCGTGGGTGTGTCCTGTTGAAAGCCTGATGCAGCATCATTCTAAGTGTCTCTGTTTTCCCACCTGCCCCTTTATAATAAGTGTATATTTGTTTGTTTGTTTGTCTCCCCTTTCCTGCCGACTCCGAAACCCCTGTTTATCTGTACCCCACTGGGACCGGGAGCGCGGGGGGCGGGGGCTCGATGGATCCAAAATTCTTCCATAGCATGATAATAGTGTCTGAAACATACAGATGCTCTGGGCAGTTTAACATACCGGCTGACCAGTGATCAGAGGCCTCATCCTTCTTGTCAGCCACCGCTTGTGAAGCGGCAGCTTAAAATCAAAGAGGTAGACCACAAAGCTTAGACTTTTGTCCAGGGAAGCACTACATATAGCTTTGACTTGTTGAAAGTTTTCAGTTTCAAGGAAAGTATTGCAATCTTCGAGACGATCGAGTGAAAGGATTTTTAAAGAAAGTATACTGGGAACAAATCATATTCGTGGTTGTGTCTTGGTTTTAGAAAAAAGACTTGTGTGGTTTGAAAACATTGCGTGGAATCTGCTTCTTGTAGTGTGCCTTGAGGATTTCTATGCTGCAGTATAGAGGACATAAAACCACCATTGCCCCCTCTTCCCTCTCCCCCTCCCACTGCACTGCCGCCTTTCCCGTCCCACCCTCCCCC